CGCACCGTAAGTGAGGCCATCGCACTCACTCGCAGTACATCCACACGCTTGTGGACGCTCCATGACGTTTACCCGACGTCCATCTGATAAGCAAGCGGCGGGTATCTTCACGGATCGATGCTGCCAGCTCACCCTTAGCTCGTACCTTCTGAGCCAAGGTGATCCCAGAATGACATCAAATTTGTCATCCAGATCCAGAACGATGAAGGCATCATCGTACTGTTAGCCCTATAACGTGTAGTGGATCCCACTTCACGTTTCGCAACGGTTATCGATGCGTCTGTAGCAAGGCGCACCTTAATCTTCGTTAGGGGGATCTCGCGCTCAACGAAATTGAGCCCACGCCTCACCAGTGACTGGCGACAAATAAAATTATGCGACGCCCCACAGTCAACCAGAGCACTAAATGATGTATCTTTTGTCACTTCTAACTTAAAGGTGGTGAGTGATATCTCATCACCAGGTGCAGAGACTCACAGCAATTGCGTATCCAGAGCAACTTTCGTCAAGATATCTGCGAATTCTCTTGAGTTTGCTGGATCAGTAGGGCGCTCCGCCCCTACTGACCCCGGCCATTTTTTTATGGTCCTCTTCGCTGTTGCGGTTTCGTAACAGCGTGGGACCTACGCCCATTGTCCTTTTTAGCAAACGTTCGCTCGTTTCGCTTGAACTGTTTGGTACTGGGTGTGGGGCACTGCACTCGTAAGCGTAGTGTCCCAACTTCTGACAGCGATTGCACCTCTGCAATCGCTTGTTGTTTGAAGAGCGAGGTCTCTCGCTCTCAACATGACAGAGTTACATTGGTTCTGGACCTCCGGTCTCTTGTCGTCTAGGTGGACGATAAGAGTTTGATCTAGCATGAGCCTGTCTCATGCTAAAGTCCTCCTGTTCCGCTGCTGCGATTGCTTGTTTAAGCGTATTCAACTCTAAGCAAAACAGGTAATTCTTGAGGGGACCATCTGTGAGCCCTTGCGTGAACACAGTAATCAACGTGTGTTCATGTACAGGGTTAGCAGTTATGTTACTAGCAAGGAGTCGTAAATGCTGAGCATAAACGTGCACATCACGCTTACTTTGCTTGGGTTCGAGGAGCCTAGATAGAGCCGTGAACTCAGCCCGAGGCGGTTCAATTGTTTGTTTGAGCCGGGTCTTATAGGCCTCTAGCAAAACGAAAGCATATGGGTCGCTCATCTCGATCCCTAAGGCCCAAGTATTGGCACGTCCTGCCAAGTGGGATTGAGCAAATGTGAGTTTCATTTGCTCATCGTCGATACGACGTGCCTTTATGGCTCTATCTAGTTCGACGAAACATAGTAACAGGGGGTCTTGGTCGACTCCTCTGAACTTGGAGATGTCAACTTTCATGACCTCGGGACGACGCGCATGTGCCGTCCCGCCCACAGCAGCATGGAATTGCTGCTGTCTTAACATCTCTGTATGTTGAGCACCGAGTTATCTCAACTGCTCGGCCTGTTGAGAGCCTTGCTGGTATAGCAAGGCTACTTTCTCCCTTTCGGCGACAAGTTCATTTTGAATGAACTTGGCGATAGCGGCATGTTGTTGGTCCCTGTCAAGGGACTCCAACATGGCGCTAATGGCGGTTTCGCCGACGGTAGAACTCATTTTTTCTACCGCACCCCATTCGGTGTCACTCAAATGGGCGAAGCGTTTACGCGTAGAGAGAAGGCTCTCCTCTTCATCCGATTGCTTCATGTCGGATGAGGTGGTTGTCGTCGCCGGACGGACTACAAAGTGCTACCAGGTGTAACGCGGAACGCCTTGTGTCAATGCAACACAAGGTTGTGTGCACCCGACGTCACGTACACGTGGCGTGAGGAAGCGCAGCGAAGTAGGCAGAACTCGAAAGCTCTGTCCAAGGGAAAAAGTAGAGCTGTATTTAATATAGTTATGTTTTTAATGAACCATCTTTCGTCTTGAGCTAACTATATTAAACTACAATCTCGTATGTGGTTTTCTTGCTCACATCCAATTGCGCGCGTCCAGCAGAGATTGGTGGTTAATCTGGTTGATGTACCGTGAACATCAACCATCAGGTGGGGAAACCCATCAAATAAATATTACCCTCGGGGGTAATATTCCTTCAACCTTACTCCTTACGAGTAATGTCAATTGATCATTATGTAAATAGATAATGTTCAAAAATTGATGCAAAGACATCAATTTTATGTAACGGACTCACCCTATTACACAGTACCCCGTACCACCCTCGTAACGTTGAACTTGTTATATTAGCCGACACTAGCAAGGTCGGATACTTGCTTACTTACTTTCTTCATTGCTTCATTATGCTGGCTGTTTGCCCAAAGTATATTCCCACATTCGTATGGCGAACAATTATCTCCCTTTGAAGCTCGTTGCTGACTGACACTTGGTAAAAATACCTTGAAATTCCTCTGCACCCAAATTGAACAGGAGAAAGAGTCCTTATCTCATCAGCTGATTGTAGCCCCACATCTTTCTGAGCGGCCTCAATTCTATGTCTAGATCCCGCATCTTCACTCTCGTTCAAATTATCGTCTTTGATGTGTCAGGCAGGACTTCCGTCTTCGTCTTCTGCACTTACTTCTTCCTCTTCATCGAACTACAACTGTGCAATGATGTTATTGACAATCACCCTCTTGTATATCTGTGAAGAGAGTTTTTGATCTTTTTTCTAAGATTTTGATGGCAGAGTATCCATAAACCGAGCAAATATTTAAGCGAAATAGGCCTTTCTATGTTCGTTGGTAAAGTCTGACATTCAGACCATCGTCTCTCATGCTGAGGTTTTAGGTGCTGATTGTAGTTGTCAATCAGGAGAGGCATGCGAAAAAAGTGTTTGTTGATCGCTTGGCGCGATTTTTGTTGTTTTCGTTTACTGTCTGGCCAGCTATTCGGTTGCGCTCAGGTGTACAGAGTTCCCAACCGAAGAAGTGGTAAAACTAACATCAGACGAATAGCACTACCTGAGATACTGTACGTTGCTCGCTTATTGTCAGGGCCATATATCATGAATCTTGAATCTCACTTTCCTAGAATGGTGTGTCTCAATGTTTATACTAAAGACTACATTTCCTCACTAAAGGAACATTACAATTTAGTAACTTTTCAATAGCTAAAACATAAGCATGTTCTTGACACATCGTTGAAACATAATCTAATCAGCAGCCGTCTTCTTTCCTCCTCGTAAAAGTTTTGTGTTGATGCTTGTCCCACTCTTATCCTCTACCCTTACGAAGCGCATCATCGCAGCGTAGAAAGACGGTGGTGGTGGTGCCGTGGTGGTGGTGAGAGAAGAAGACGAGATTCTATATAAAATATAGAGTAGTGAAAGGAGTTGTTTAGAAGAGAAGCGCGCCGCCGATATATAAAACAGGACGAGGACGAATCTACATCATCAGGAGGAGCGCGTGAGAGAAAAAAGAACAAGTGGAAGGTAAGAAAAGGCGGGAAGTGAGTGAAGGGGGAGCGAACTGTTAATATCCTGATACCAAGTATGACCTATACTCCTGTAAGACCTTTATATAAGAGATAGAAAAAGATTAAAAGTGAGCATTGCCCCTCTAGATTCGAGCTTGCCAGATTTCAGACCCAGTTGGATCTTATGCACCCGGCTGCGCCGTGACATGACATACTGTAAAACCTGTTTTATAACCTCACTGGGTATTTCGCCATAACCCCACCCTAGAGTAACTTATTATTGGAGGGGACGTCTTATTTGAGGATAGTGAATAGGGATAAGAACAAACATAAGAAATTGATGAAATATATAGAGATTGAACTTAGGATAAGATTGCCAAAAATCGGAATAAGATTGAATGAAGATATCGTGATAAGACGACGCCAACACAAGTATCTTGCTTGAATTTCTCATTCCGCAAATTTGCTCGCAGTGATCAAACGGTCGGGTATCAAGCCCCCGCGCTAGTTGGCGGCCCGTGGCGCAGTACGTCCCTGTGACGTTTAAGAAGTGGGCAGGCCCGGCTGTGCGTATCCTGCGAGCAATATACAGAAGCGAACGAAGCGCCTCTCCATGAGGTGTGTGATTACCAATGAAACGTGTATTCAGCAACTTACTCTCTGCTTTCCTCAGTGTTTCCAAAGCAACAAGACCGCTTCAGGCCGAAGTGACTTGAATATGATATGGTACGTTCGACGCAGAATCACGCTGGTTACTAAATCTCACATTGCACTTCACAGGTTGGCGCTCCTAAGGAATCACAATTACAGAGCTGAAGCATTAGAGAAGTCAAGCTCGTACTCGTCGTCGTCGTCGATGTCCATGTCACTGCTGCTGTTTTCATTTAGGAAGAGTAAGTGGGAGAGCGAGTCGGCGATGTCGCTCCTGAACACAAGTCGCTGAAAATGGAATCCGTATTATTCGTGACACCAAAGCGCCAAATCAGCATCTTATCCGAGAAAGCAGCGGCGAAATCTGCGGCAAATTTATGGCTCACTAATCTCCGACTACGCGGCCTTGATCCAGCCGACGACCGTCATAAGCGACGGAGGGCGCACATTTCAACCTGCCGTGTAGGAGTGAGATCTATGCTCCTCCTAGTTGTCGATCAGGTCGGCTAGGTGCTCTTTCAAGAGCTTAAAGACTCCGTAATCTCAGGGCTGAAGATATGACATCATGCCACCGGGTATTACCGCGTACAGGATCTTACGAGTATGTAGGTGAGTCTTCACCTTCTTGATCACGTGACTTGGTGTGGAGTCGAAAACGAGCAAATTCTTGTTCGGCTTGGAAAACGGAAACATGTAGTCGATGTTTCGAATGAACAATTCCGAATCCATCCATGATTTGGAGTTGGTGAAAACTGGTATTTCTTGCTACGTCGAGATCCTTCATTCCTTGCCCTTCTCTAGAACACATGGCTTCAGCTTAGTCCCGTCGCCGCGAACAGCAAACACAGCAGTCAAGAGAATCTTTTCGAAGCCGAGAGACCTGAGGGTACGTCTATAGACCCGCGCTCCGCCAGCGTTGTATCCTTGTCATGGTCAGCAAAGACCGCGGTCTCATCCAGATTGACCACGTTTTGTGGATCGATTTTGTATTCGCGGACAAGCTTGCGCAAGTGAAAGATGAAATTGGCACCGTGCGTGGCGATAAATTCAGCGGTCAGTCTCGGCTTGTTAGACTTCTTTTGAAAGACGAGATTGTGTTGGTAAAGAAAACACACAAGCCAACCATTCGAGAGAGTGAAACCGGGCTGCTCTACCATCTTCCTGAGGATCTTTGCCTCCGTCTCCACAACCCGGCGTCGAGTGACACGGATATGCTTGGAACGAACTTCACGCAACTCAGAGATGAGAAGAGAGTCCAGTTCTTCACAAAAGACACGGCGAACGCCCCCGCCAAGACAAAATCTGCTCATCGACTCCTCGTCAAACGCGCCAGCATTGTCTTGATGGACCCAGTCGCGGATGCAGCGACGGTCGACGTTGTACTTGACGGAATCGGGTCGGAAAGATGACTTTTCGCCTCCCTTGAAATCTTCATTTATTCGCCGATATTGTAGCGATGGCGCCCCATGGTTGATCAGGAAATGAGAACATATGCTGTGTATTTCCAGTAGCTTTTGCGTAGAGGATACTTACCCGTTAATCACTTAGGCGTTGTGGTGTTCTGATCATTTATAGAAATCGATCAAGACTGCTCTAATTTGCTTCAAGGTGGGATACTTTCAGAGGGAGGGTCAGTTGGGGTGATGTGTTTGTGGAGTAAATTCTAGGGTCACCTGTGGTTATGATTAAAAGGAGGTTCTAATTGAAGGATTGGACTATAAAACAAATTTTACATTATTTAACTATAATATGTCGATGCGACTATATACCCCCCCTTAGCGAATGATGCTTTAATATCGCTTAAACATGTAGTGTTTATATCTTTTGCAGATTGGTTGACACAGGCCATTACACGGACAACACGATCTCATGGAGGATGGACGCGCGCAAGTTACGCTGGGTATATATGTCTACTTCATGTTAGCTTATATAACCACTTCAAAAAGACTCATGTATACTGATACGATTATCAATACCAGATTGTGCTACCTGCGTAGTCCCTGGTATACTCGTGGTTTGTCTTTTGATTAGTGATTTATATATCATGGAAATCGAGGGTGAGGATAGTGTCCACACGTGGCGCGAAGGCTTTGAACATTCAAGTCATATAGAATGAAGCGTGGCTGATCGAATGAGTCGTCCATAAATTGTGGCAAGCGACATGATGTTCGCCCAAAAGAGTTTTGAGCAACATGCTGAGATTGCCAAGATGATGCAACCTTATGTTGATCAAATCGACAAAAAGATGATCTTGCTGGTATAGAAAGGTTTTCAACATGCAGAGCTGCCGAGGGATCAGAAGATCAAAAATTTGGAACGTTTAGACAACATCAAGCAAACTTTGTCATTGAAGGACCGGCGTGCGTGCGTGCGCTAAATCTCGACGACTCCATCGAACCTCGCCGCACCAAAGTCGATGTGTTGAAGGTGTACTTAATCATGTACAACTTGAGTGGACGTGACAAAGCCTGTAATCTAAGACTTAATGTTCACGACCCATTTGATGTGATATGGTAGACCACATCAAGGTGAACTTTCGACAATTGTTTGATGCACTACTTGTCGAATCTAGGACTTGAGATAAATTGTCCGAAGCAGGATAGGCTTGACGTACACGCTTGCACCCACCATATACGGTACCTCTTAAGCTACTCTATCTTATGTGTAAGTCCATTGATGAGCAAACATAGCAAATATCTTAACATAAACAGGGGTATTGAGAATGATTCCGCGTAGCCTCATCTGCTACGCCTTGAAGTGAAGACGCCAGACCAAGCGATATCCGTGGTGAATCAGTGGAAACTTAGATCACTACAAGATCACGTCAGTTTGTCAAACTATTGTCTAAGAAGACAACAGGAAGAGCAAACCCAAAGCTCATACACCTCTGATCATTTAAGAGCTTAATACCTCGATCCCCACGGTAACAATTAATTTCTAAGGCGAAAAAGCAATCAAAATGTAGGACCCTACGCTCATCGATATATTTCCCCTCGCCTAGTGTCTCGTATAAATTACTCGGACCAATCGACCGCCGCTACGCATTGCCGTGAACGCCAATATAACGGGATAATATCGTTACAGAATATGAAAAACTGTAAAAATAATGGTTTGGGTGAGTAGGGACAAAGCTCTTTCTTGACCCAGTAACGTCGAAAGAATTTGAAGGCTAATGGAAGAAGACTACACTCAGCAATCATTATTATGTGTTGCTTATCCTGGTCATTACACATTCTCTCATTCATCGAAGATCATAGTGAAAAAAAGACATGTTACTTCATGCCTTGTGTAGTTGCGAGCTTCGTAAAAACGAATCACTAAAAATTTACAGAATTGACCTCGTTTGTCGTTCGATCTCTTCGACGCAGATGACGGTGCGCTTTGAAACAGGCGCATCCTTACTAGTAACACAGTCTATAGGGGGAGTCCACAAAACGTTGCATATGAATAGGACCACGATGATTGCGTCGTAATAAGTATGAAGAATATTTATAATGCCATCAGTTTATTTCATGTATCAGATGAAAAGATTCATAGATTAGATGGCATCATTGGTCCTTGACAATGCCTGTCATTTGTTCATCAGGTAAAAACCTGAATATCTTTTTTGAGCGCCTACAAGCGTTAGGATGTGGTGGCGTGGCGACTCTAACATTCTTGCAATACTTAATCGACTTCTGGCTCCCAGAAAAAGTATTAGCTCATAGGTAACAAGGCTTCTATCTGAAAATGCTTCTTTCATAACCTTATAATCTATTAGTTGCTGGCACTTGTTCAGCATTAGGATGATGAAATAAAATATTGAGTTTATGATCGATAGTGATCATATGTGTACATAATTATTTAGAACTCTTGTAAATACACGATAGGCTCGATCCAGTTTAAGATATGCTTCCCTTTAACAGCACTAGTCACATGCTTTCACCTCACCAGCTGCACTCTTCCAATGCTCTTTTCAGTGATGGTTTTGACCTAACAAGACCAAAGTAAGCAGCTTTGACAATCGCAGCACAGCGAACGTCTTGATGAAAACATCGGCTCGCATAAAGCGCGACTCTAAAACGCACTAGCATTATCGCCTTATTCTGTAATTTTTGATGAACTTAAGATGTACATCAATGTGCTTTGCACTTCCTGCGCTGTATTTGCCCGGTATTTGCTCAGTCGCAGCTATACTTCCAACGGGCATCAAAGAAGCTTCGCCATGCGTACTCTTATTTCATCAATACATTTATTCAGCCCCAGCAGATTACACGCCACCGCTGATGCAACTACGAATCGTCCTTCATCGTATATAATGCCGCACTCAATTGTTTAACACGTTTAACCTCTAAAAATCTAAAAAGAGGATATAAACTCTTCACTTACAAATTTCATCGATTTTCGAGATTTACTGCGTGATCCGCATCGCTGAAGCCTCCAAATACAACTTCTTGTGCGTTTCAGAGTTATCACTAACGGCGTTAATGCTGAATCTACAATTTTCCTTTAAGTATCGAACAATAGTTGTCACCCACCACTAGTCGCGGTTCCTTTGCAAATGTAGTACTCGGTATTCCTTGTTACAGCTAATGCAATGTACGATCTTATACATCGATACAACCACACCAGACTTCGAAATGCCGGTTGAAACATTTTCTTATTCGTTCGTTTTGGTGTACCATCACCGTCACCTGGTATCATATCCCCTTCTTATTCACCTTCCAAGCCTTTGATTATCGACTTATAGTGAGAATCAGCTTGCGTTAGGCATATTTAAGCAATTACTTCGCGAATGAACCGAAATTGATCCAATATATACCAGTTTCATTGTCACCTAGCACGAATGCCAAGAAACATAGCTCTCTCACCGATGTCCTTCGTCTCAAGTAACTATATATCCGAGGTAAAACATCCAGGCCGCAGACCGTCTCAGTAGTGACCAATGGCTATTCCACGCAGACGCTCACCAGGCTCATCTGAAATTTATCCGTTTTCGCGTGTAAAAAATGGTTTTGTGCAGCACTGCGTGTTGCGAATTTTAAAGTATAACCGCATATTAAACGTATGGGCAACTTCGGATGTCACTTGGCTACGTAGCTTTACTATGACTTACTTGACGCTACCCATCGCGTTCCATTACTTAATCCTCTCTACATACATGCGCATCGAGTTTATCGCCTTCATACCTGGTCTGTTGGTCTTGATGCCTCTTCATTCCGACCCTAGTTCTGTGATGTACATTTCTGCTTATTCGATTTCTCTGTTAAGAAGTGATGGGATCAGCGCCATAAATTTAGACTTGACATGTGATGCCAGCATGACGCTGTGGTTATCACGCTGTGTTCTTTCGGCATCACCACAATGCTCTTCTATTGAAAGCTTTGCTTGTGTTCCATGCAGCAACTATACAAAACACTACATAGCCCACCTCAACCAAAACAGAACTTTGCAAAGATTCTGTACGTATGTTCAAGAAGTCTCATTTATCCTCGTCAATTTCCATTTCTACGGCACGTAAATTGAGTTCTTCAGAGATCTTTTGATTTGCGTCTCAATGAAAGTCATTGGATACATTATCGTGTCGGGAAAACACCGCCCATAATCGGGCCGATGATGCAATTGTTGTTTACATCACGGCACTAAAGTCATTGTGCAAGCATAAGCATATATCTGCTCGTCTCCGCAGGGAAACCTCCTCGCCCTAACTGTTTACAGCGTCCTATCTAGTTTTATATAACATTTAACGAATTATTTGCCATATAGCAACTAGTGATCAGGACTACGAAGTCTTACTTATGTCGTTACGTAATATTATACGGATTAACGTTTCGGTAAGCATCACTTTGCACTACGGCGTATCCTCTATAGCTTATGCTCTCCTTTTGCTGTTTCGGATACTTCCACCAATGTAACGGGGCACACCCTTGCGTAACTTAACGCAAGGGATTTGGGTGCCCCGACGGACGTACACGTGGCGAGCGAGGAAGCGTAGGTAGGGTAAAAGTAGAACTGTTATATTAATAAATTAAGTCTTTAAACTACTGTCTCTTCGTTTGACTTAATTCAATTATACTAATATAACTGCATGTATGGTGACGTCTCGTCACCACTCATTGCGCGCGTCTTGCGGCGATTGGTGGGTTGATATCATCACGATATCAACCAATGAACAGACCCTTTGGTCGACCCTTCAATATCACCACTTTGGTGATATTGTTTAAAGAATATCCATCTTTATATTCTTTATTGTCACTTTCCTTAAAGTGACAATATCATGTAACGGGCTGCCCCGTTACATCACCCCCCCTTAACTGATAGTCACCGTGTGACTATCGAAATATGGAGGCCACCCGTTGGCCACCATTGGGACAGGGAGCACTTGTTTGGTCCGTTCCACTCACTTTCCGCTTGACCTCGCATAGTTAAC